CTGCCGAGTCATACTGATTATGTACAAAAACAATTAGTGGAAGGCACAACAGATCCAGTAGTACCACCCACATGGTATACTAATTAACAAATCCGATATATCGATATTAATGGCCATGTGAAAGCCTATATAATTTTATTTACTTAGCTGACGTTGTTCGTTTAAAAGGTAACGCCTCCAAAAACAAAAATCTCTTTATAATAGATGGGCCGGCGCCGAGGTAATCTAGATAGACGGTTGATGTAATGCGAAAAACACAAATTAAGGATGGGATGAGGGTCTGAATATCATTTCACTGGACAACTGGCTCGACTCCACCCCGAAACCAGCTTTTCTAGGGCCAACGTGCTCATAACAACGTTGAAATAGAAAGATGGGAACACATGTCGGTCGACTTAAAGAATGTTTGAAACTGTCGGGTCATTTTTAGCAAAGAGAATAAATGCTAACGCTTATGACTATAAGCTGTGTTATAATGACCTGGATATTAAAGGTGTAAAAAAAATGATACAGAAACATTAAGCAACTGTTCTTGAAAAAGTAAATAACAACGTTTAGAACCCGACATCCGTCTATTTTTTACTTTAAAAGAGTACCCAGATCGTATTTATTAATGTGAGAAACAAAATTTCCGACTTTTATTTTGAGGTTGTTTTTTCTACATAATTTTATTAAAATATACATCTCGTCTGCTTGTGATAAATATCTGCGTGTGCCGTAATTATTTGCGTACTAAGTTGTATAAACGTTATTCATATTACTTTCTCTCACTTTCATTTCTTCCGGTTTAGAGAGTCTAGTTTTTTTAATTTATTTTTTTCTTGGGTATATTTTGTTTAACGATCTTGTTAATTTATGGGAATAAATCTTGTCTGTGTTTTCAAATAAAGAACGCCGTGAAATATTCTAGGAGATTCATCTTAACTGATGTACGAAAATTACTTAGAAACTACTGCTTGCACAAAAAAAAAATTAGGAGTACAGTAGTCTAAATTCTAAAATCAAATTTGATTAGAAGTATTACGAAATGAATCGTAGCCCTTCCGATTTCTCCGTAGATAGAGACAACTTTCATTTTTTAAATGTAAACACGCTATTAATTCGACGACAGTATACAATTTAATACCAGATTTACAAAGGTTACATATAAATAAATACATTGTAAATTAAAATTGTTTTTTAACAATAGCCAGTAGACTAATACAATTCACATTCTATAAATATTGTATCGTGTAAGCTTCTGTAAACTTCGAATTATAGCATTTATAAAATGATAAATTTTTCAAAAATAAAATTGTGTGTTCATTTCAAGTTTGTGATATAATTATCTTAATAGTTATTTGTGTATCAAGGCCATAAAGAACAACAAATCAGATGAGGTCGAAAAAGTTCTCTGTGACCGAGTGCACACAACATTTTTTTAAGCGACCATACAGAAAAATGATTGGTTATGTAAGTGGTTTTGAGGTTAAAAAATCATTTTTGTTTTCGGAAGAAAAGTCCCGCAGGTTTGATAAAAAACACAGTACTACTTTCCTCCTATACTACGGAAAACTATGTTTTCAATGCCTCCGGCTCGCATCACCTGTCGGAAACCAACCAATTTCCGAAGTAGTCCGGCAAAAACCTAGGGATTTTTCTATGATTATCGATATCGATTGGCATTATCGTTTGTCATTTTAGGGTCGAGTAAGTTTTAAGCTAAAAAGGAAGTAATTTTGACAAAAGATACTGTATATATTAAATCCGGATATATAATAATCTCTGTAAGCATTTTCTCTCAGAATTTGGGAATCTTCTTTGATCACTCGGTGTACATACAATGACATCAGACGTTTATTACCCACAACACTGAAAATACGAAATGATGACATTATCTAGACGAAAGGTGTTATTTTGAGTCCAGAATTTTACAAGTGTGCTGAATTCATCACTTATTCTGATCTCAAAAATATTAAAGTTCGCTGAAAGATATGATTTAAGTGCTTAATTTTTATGAGTTCATAATAGTGAGCTGTAGTAAATCCGTTTGCCTAGGAAGACCTTCTCCTATTGTAAGAGTAAATTATTTCAATGCGTCAACAGTCTGTGCTTTTTTTATTAAAGTTTATGAGGGATGGTTGTAAAATGTAAAATGATAATTCAAAACCTTACGACGAATTTTAACAACTGATTCCGGAGTTTTTATTTATTATTATTTAAAAATTTTGCTACAGAAGTATTTTTCATGTTTGTGAAGTTTTACGAAATCATCATGTGGGTGTATATGTATATCTATTCCGGAACTTTAAGTAAGTAGTATAAATTTTATGATATTATTATTATAAAATTATTATATCCTAATGATGTGAGTTTCGTTCACGTCACAGGTTGGTTTTGCAGTGGGGTTTATAATTATGATATCAATTTTTCTTTCAACTGTTATTGATCTTTTTCTAAACATTTCATCTGTAAGTAAGTTTTTCGATATAAATATGTCCCATCGTAATAAGAAAGTGTTCCGAGAATCCACTTTTTGCCTTATTTTTCTTTCGCTGTAGGAATTAATTAAAACTAAACTCTCTAGAAATAAATATTATAATAAATTAAAATGTATGATCCTTTGACGTAATTACTATCATTTCCTGTTTTGCTAAAATGGCAACTAATTTTGTTTTTAGACAACGTTTGCAGAGATTTTCATCCGGATTAAATTCACTAAAGTTGTCATTTGCTATAAAATCAATTTCTGGCTGTTCGGAACATTTTTACCTAAATTGCAATTAATCTTTTAAGTATTGGTACAAAACAAAAAATAATCAGAACTGACGTGCATACCCTAAAACTCTTTATTTCGTTTGAAAATATTAAGTTATTTTCAAAAAGCTAGCACCACAATAAAAGTATAATCTGATCTATTAACTAGACCGATAATTTCCAAAAATATAAAACATTTAGCTTGAAATTTTATGTTATAATAATCACGAATACACTAGAACTAAAGTAATGCTGATCTGTTCTATCTAATAAATTGATGAGTAATTTTAAGTTGATATAAGTAATTACGTAATAAATAAATTTTGGTTAACGGAATTAGACTTTTCACTTATAATATCCCTAGTTCATTGATTATTTCCGCAAATTTTTTCGAATGCATTTCAAAAACATATTAATTATCCATGTGCCTAACCGATCTAGACACAATATAATTAAATTAATAACTACAACAATTGTGTATTTTATTTAAATCAACAATAAATTTTATCCCAATTGTGATTATGTCAAAAAATTTCCACTTATTAATTTCTGTTAGGTTAGTAAAGCCGACAAAAATTTCCAGGAAATTTCTATTCTCTTATTGGTCTGTATTCGTGTCGTACAATTTTCACAATTATTTTAACGTACACCGAAAATGTCAAAGTCATCGGTTCGACATTTTCAATGATTATTATCTGTTTAAATCAAGAAATTAAGTGCTTGTCAAACTGATCTTACTGCAATATATCCGTTAGTTCTTAGGTACTCCGAAATTAAAAAGGAATTTTATGACCCTTTTAGATTTATAATTCTAAGTACTAGAGTACGTTATTTGGCAAAATCTTATCTTGGCAAGTACTAACATTTATTTTCTTCTAGGGTATGTTATTTGGCAAAATCAGTCCTATCTTAGCAAGTACTAGCCCCGCCCACCCGCCCTTTATTTTCTTATAGGGCATGTTATTATGCAAAATCAGTCTTATCTTGGCAAGTACTAACATTTATTTTCTTCTAGGGTATGTTATTTGGCAAAATCAGTCTTATCCTAGCAAGTACTAGCCCCGCCCACCCGCCCTTTATTTTCTTATAGGGCATGTTATTATGCAAAATCAGTCTTATCTTCGTAAGTACTAATATTTATTTTCTTCTAGGGTATGTTATTTGGCAAAATCAGTCTTATCTTAGCAAGTACTAGCCCCGCCACCCGCCCTTTATTTTCTTAGAGGGTATGTCATTTGGCAAAATCAGTCTTATCTCGTAGCTGCGTCGGTCCTCAGAATGATCACGGAAACCCATAAAACCAAAAAGTTGCTGCTAATTCAATGCTTTTTGTGTAATTTTAGCAATAGTGTCATATCTTTATGCACATCTAATGACGTGAGAATGCATTTTCTTAAAGATAAATAAAAATTTGCAACTGACTTTAATTTTAGTAAAAATATTAAAAAATTAGGTATTTATATCATTTTCAGTAATTTCTAAAAATTACGTCATGGAGCTATTGTATTCACCACAATTAATCTAAAAGTTGCTAAAACTTGAAATCAATTAAAACAACAAGATACATAAAAACAATAATAATAATTATTTAAAATTCGCGTTTTATTTTATGGTAATTTACAAAAGTCAAAAGATGTAAGGATTTATTCTAGTTTACAGCAGTGAAAATAAGAAAAACTGATCTAAAGTTCTTTAGATAGAACCAATGGCGGCTCGGGACCTTTTGAAATGGGGGGACACAAGACGTTATTACCAATTAATAGACGAAACTGAGTGACGGAAGTAAATACAAAAATACATTCAATAAAGTAAAAAAGTACTTGTCACTTGTCCACATACCTTTGGTTTTAAATCATTACTAAGGAGACACACAAAGCATTTTATTATTTTTTTTTAAACGGCACATCCACAAAAAATTATCATCTCGTTTTGTCATGGACATTTTTGTTTATTAATAAATCGAGGGTGGCTCTCCCTACATTTTTCACTAAACTTTTACCGTCGTAAGACCGAGGACGATTTTTTATTAAATATTCAACTGAAATCATTATTTTTATTTAAAATCAAACAATTTCACTGGCGCAGAATGAAAATGAAATCCCGCAACTGAGTTACCGGTAGTGGTCACTGTTCGAGCAGGACCTGATTTCAACCACATCCAGCGACTAGACGCACGGTTTCCATGGCAAAGGTGTAAACAAAACGTCTCAATGAGGCTAATATTTAGAAACATTTATTGTGATTCTTCCATTCTACATTCTGTGGCCATTTCTCATACAAATAACTTATAGTACGAAAAGCTGTATCTTCATGAGTATCTTTCTGTAAAGCACACTTAGCAACAACACTTTCCGCCTCTTCCTCACTAGTACTTGCTAGGATAAGACTGATTTTGGCAAATGGCATACCCTCTAAGTAAAGCGAGGATGGGTGGCAAGGGCACTCCAAGATTTTTTAGATTAAAAAACCAGAGACTCTAAAAACAAAGGTTTTTCGAACTTGTTTAATAAAATATAAATCCCTGTAGCGTAAATACTATTATTATTGGAGCGCTCCGCTGCTAGGTACCGTTTTTAGGGTTCTACGACGAGCGGATTACACAGACAGCCGCAATTCCACTTCACCCGAGGCGAGTGGATTAAGAGGGTTAAGAGCTCTTACGGATTGCACTTATAGTCACTACTGTAATTGCGCCGAGTGACAAAATTCCTTCTATGTCAAGTGGATCACGCAGACACTCGCAATTCTACTCCACTCGTGACGAAAAACACTGAAACTGTAAAATGTTGTTTAAAAATTTCATTTTTTTCCGAAAAGCTAAAAGTCTAAAGTAAAAATTAAGGCAGATTAGTAAACTACAAATACCAAACCTTTAATTTTCCTAAAATACAGACAGACGGAAACGAGAGACTAACTTTGTCATACGCTGGGAGACATGAAATGTCGAGAAAACATGTAATTAGTCGTTCATCGCGTAAACAACACAGTGGAATCGAAGGGAACAAGATAAACACGAAAGTCAACATTGATAAATAAAGACACTACAAATACAAGATCTGAAGATAAGGTTATGATGGAATATTTAATGATGGTTATTTTGAGATAAATATAAAAATAACTGTCAAATCATACTTGATTAATGATGCAACTTATCAACTACTGTGGTCAGTTCCAAGTTTACTTTTTGAAGATGGCATCGTTTTTCACAAAAATTAATTGAAATGAAGCTGATTTTTGTATCCAAAGTTTAATTTTCTAAAAAAAAAAAATACGACAGTAAGCTTTAGGAACACTTATTGTGGTTCTTTCATTCTACAGGAGAAAACTGTGGCCATTTCTCATACAAACAACTTATAGTACGAAAAGCTGTTTCTTCATGAGTATCTTTCTGTAAAGCACACTTAGCAACAACACTTTCCGCCTCTTCCTCACTAGCAGCCACCAGTTTGGCCAACTTTTTTAACTTTTCCATATCAACATCGCCATCCTCATTAATCAGTTCAATTTTTTTCAAAACGCAAAGAACGTGAGCTTTCAATTTCGAATCGTCTATTCTATCTTCACCATTCAAACCTGTATCGATGTCTTGAGCAGTCACACCAGTTTCATCTCTACAGGGTTTGCTATATTGTTCAAGAGTTGCGTTTTGTTGTGGAGTCAAAGCCTGAAAATAAAGAAGAAAACGTCGGAATTCAAAAGAAAATAATTTACCAAAGCTGACACTAAAAAAGTGGCAAAAAGTAAACACCGTGCGCACGCCATGTCGGTCAAGGTACTTTTGTACGAATTTTGTGCGTCGTTGTGACAGTTTTTAACTCGTTATCACCACAAAGTGAAAGTTTATCGGGTCTAAATATGAATAAATGCACACACAAATCATAGAAATGTTTATTGTCCAGTGGCGGTTCGTGAGTTAAATTTAATTTTTACTCTTTCTTGTGCCCCCCGACACCAACCGCCTCTGAATTGTAAGAATGTTTGTGATGTGAGAGTTTAAAAACTAAATTTAGATTATATACAATGTTTTCGTTACACGTATAGTATACAGTAGAACCTCGATAATCCGAATTAATTGCCAAAAAGTTGTGTTCGGATTAACGATTTGTTCAGATCAGCGATTTTCCCAAAAATCTGAAAGGGAATTGAAAAACAACTTCATACAGAGTTGAAAACAAACTTCAAGAAATAAACCTTAATTTTATTAAACAAAATTAAAGAATTCTTATGCAATAATGGATAATAGACACATTCTAAAAAAATATTACTCCGTGACCATAAACACGCTATCCTTTTGGAGTCAACACGCCCAGATCTATACCCTGAATTTTTTCAGAATTTTTAGATGAATTTTTCAAAAATGAAATTTTCCATGTTGTATTACCTCTATTATGCAAATTTCGACCCATTCTCGACGATTTTCGAAATTTAACTAAATAAATTTTCTTGTAGATTTTGGGCTTTAGAAATCATTTCTGGCTTCATTTCTTCGATAATTTAAACTATTGTTCCAGATCGTCCAGTTGAAATATCGCAATTTTTTAAAATTTCGAAAAATTCGAATTTCACACCGAATTTTCCGAAAATATTGCTCGGTTACCTATTTTTGGAATCAGCACGTCGGGATATACTGAATCCCTGAATTTTTTCAGAATTTTTAGGAAACTTTTTCAAAAATGAAGTTTTCCTCATGCAAATTTCGACCCATTTTCGATGATTTTCGAAATTTAACCAAATACTTTTTCTTGTAGATTTCGGACCCCATTTCTTCGATAACTTCCAACATTTTTTCCAGAATTTAGTTAATTAATTCAGTGCATTGAAATATCGCAATTTTTAAAAATTTCAAAATATTCCATACAACATAATATGCAGAAAGACCCTGCGTCATTTTTGCAAGTAGGTGCGTGTTTCCAAGTTCAGTTCGGATTGCAGAGCTTTTGTTCGGATTGAAGAAGTATCGACTTCAAATAGCCTCTGCTCGGATTACTGGATGTTCGGATAATCGTGAATTCGAATTATAGAGGTTGTGCTCTATTTACAAAATGAAATGCGATTTCAAAATTTTGAAATTGCTCAAAATAAAGTCCCTCGGTCGTGTGTCGGAGGGGGGGGGGGGGCAATTGCGCCTATTGCCCCCCCCCCCCCCTGGATCCGCGCCTGCACGGGACCGACAACCGTCAACGCTTGGGTTACAGTAGTTTTATTTTAATATCGGGTTGCTACAGTCATTATTAAATCTTATCATTACTAAAAAATGATCCCTTTCCGCTCAAGATACACCACTGCACTGAAGACAAATTGGTTAATTGACAGTCGCGAAATGTCGCTGTTCATTCACGGCAATTAAATTATGCCCAACTCCCACTGTAGCGACAATACGTTAGCGATAAAATCTTCTCCCAACAGTGATTTCTTTATTTAGATTTGCTTTTTCGTTTATCGTGAAAACCCTACCATAAACATTTCATAATTTTGATGAAACAATTACCTGGAAAAGTCTAGTCGGTGCAATTACGGTTTTAGTTTAATTGAAAATAATTTCTTCAGTTCGGCATAACCTAGAATTATGTATAAGCAACAATGCATGCTGGGAGTAACCAAGCACTTCAATTGGTTCATGAAGGAACTCTGCGTGATATTTCACCTTTGGCGTGACTTTGTGGATCAAGTAACCTGGGCACGTCACTAGACTTGCTGTAATTGCGTTTAAAATAAACGGAAATACTTTAAAATATACAGTTGGGTTCATTATAATATCTCTTATCGTTTGCACTGATTTTAATGTTTTGATTGTAGACGTACTTTTCCTCAATCTTCATTGATTGTACTACGTGTGGCTTACCTTGAACTTCTCTTGAATATTTACATTTAATAACATATAATTTGGAGGAAATAAAAAGTAACTAGGTACTAAATTGCATGTACTTAGTAGCAGAATCCGGAATGATCGCTTTTTTCTGTAATGTAAATATGCGAATGTTGGGTTCGCGGGAATTTTTTTCTATTAGAAGTAGTTTCAACCAATAAAACTTGTTCAATTGGAAGACGAGTTATTAGAATGATGGAAGCAATAAAACGATAAAAAATAACGACATGGAAAAGAAATTCGTAGCTTTACATAAGCATCGGTCATTGCAAATTTACGTAGGTATTTATTATGCAGTCCTGTAAATGTTTTACACTCATTTACTGACATACCTGTGGATAAAATGGTTAATACTTTTTATATCGTAATTTGTTACAACTGAGTGTGAAAAAACCAAAAACCCTCTAGTTCCTAGTTGTAATCTATCACCTCTGACGTTTGGATTTCCGGGTTTGAGCTTCCAAGTTTGCATCACGTCACACTTCTTTTGACATATCGCGTCGATGTAAATGAAGACATACGTTTTAGGGACAAAACCATTAACAAGTAACTGGAATTTTTTTATTGGTCGTTATAATTTATAAAATACGTACAAAATTTCAAGAAAAAAATCAATTCTCGCGTGTGCTCAGAAATGCGCTTTCTTTATATTATTGTTACTTTTGTCTAAAGATTTTATCCCCAATTCGTTCAAAATATTTGGATTAAAACAGGAAATAAAGGTCTTCTAATAATACTAAACTTAAGATAAATATATTTTCATGTTGAGTAAAAAAAGCACAGGATGTGTTTTACTTAGTAAAATGTTGACTTCAAATAAGTTAAGCTTCCAACCAAATGTTACTAAATTGGTTTATATTTCTGACCGATTTAAAAAGATACTTGATTTTTGAAATCCAGATTTTATTAATGTCGCTAATGTAGATATTGGCCGTCAAAGAAGGCTGTGGGAAAAAATCTTATATCTCAACGACTGGGCTTCTGTCAGATATACACTTTTTATTTGTGCGTTCTTCTCAAAATATGTTCCGTCTAGTCTGATACTTGACAACTATCAATGACAAAGTAATATCTACAGAAAGATGATTTAAAAATACAAAAACCGACCAACTTTTTTAGTTTTTGCAAATGGTATACTATCATATTCAATTTTCAAGTTTTTATTTTAACATTCATGACAGTGTGATTTACCGGCAGATTTAAATGATCACCCGATTATTTTCGCTGCCAGATTGGCGAAAATTACAACAGTTCTTTTAAAACTTGCATTAGAAATGGATAATCACATTAGAAAAATCGTTATAATTGCAACTGCTTTAACGGAACAGAGCAAGAAGTCTGAGACAAGGGTATCTGCTAAATCCTTCCTTGTTTTTGATATACACGGACGATGTGAAAAAACTATGCTGGACATTATAATAAAATAAAAGACAAAAATGAACCAATATACAAGAACAGAATAGCTCAGTTTAAATGTTTGAAATGAAGAGAATTGTAAATTCATAAACCGGGATAACCAAAAAAGTATACTTATTATATGGTACATTTGAAAAAATTCCATGTAGTGTGAAGTAGAAATTATAGCAGTTTTTTACACTGCTAAAGGGCATAACTGTATTCGAGCGGTTAAGAGAACAGAAATTCAAATATCTGCTTTGTAACATCGTAGATAATTACGTTATATAATATCAAGCAATTACAAACTTTAGTTATAATTTATAATACGAAATAAACTTATTACATCTCTTGTTAAGGATTATGTTGAACAAAAAAAATGCGACAAATACTAAATTATGGAACAGATACAGGAGAAAAACGATACAAGAACTAATAAAACTAAAAACATTCGAATATCTCGGATAACGAAATAAAAAAAATCAATAATTATAAAACCGGTAAGCTTTAACAAATTAAATAGTATTTCATAATACGATAAACAACCAAAAGTGCCGAAGTTTGATTATAATATCTTCTTCTTCTCTCCGGAGTAAATAATTTTTCTGAGCATAGATTCAGATTCAGGATTCAAGACTCCTTCCAAAAAGGATAGTTGTAAACCAATCTAATTAATCAATTCAGTGTGTTCAACATAACTTTTAGCCGCCCCTAGCAATTATGCTTGATTTTTGTTAATAACAGTTTTAATTTGGTGTTTAATTGTGTCAGAATAATTTAATGTTAATTACTATACAATCAGTTTATGTTAAAACACTGAACTGCAGCAGAACAAAACCACTTTACATGAAATTCGCATGTGTATGTGTTTTTATTCGCTAAAAATTTGGCTCTAAATTTAATTTGTGTTTTAGCCAACGTAACGAACAGGAAGCATATTTTCAATGCAAGTTTCGAGTAGGTATATGGAAGTTTAGTTTTAATATTTTAGTACCAAAATTAGTGTCCGGTTCGAAGTATCTTTGATCTAAACAATTTTGTTACAAAAAATCTTATTTTCTTAATTCACTGAAATATATCTTCTTTAAAAGCAATAGATAGCTGGAAAGAATTTATTGGGTCGTTTACAACTAGCGTCAAGTAAATGATGTTTCTTCGGGAAACAGATGAATTAAACTGAAATAAAGATAAAATTACCCTCAAGTGTACGTGATAAAACGCTATACAACGGGTAAAGGAAATGTAAACATACTGTTTGCTCAATAGAAAAATGGTAGTTGAATTGATGATGATGCCTCCCAACATGCAACGAAGTAAAAAAATAAAAATAAAACAATGATAAAAATTTTTAAAAGAGAAACTATATTTATAGTAGAGTCCGAGAAATGGTGATTTTCATATTTGTTAAGTTCTATGATGTTATTTTTTTGTCGCAACGTTTTAAAAAGTATACATATATACAGAACGTTTCGGAAAATGTCAGCCACAAAGCCTGGACATTATTTCTTTGGTTAACACCGAAAAAAGGTTCAAACAAATTTTTCTA